CTGCAGAACAAATACAAATTATCTTAGAAACTGCTGCACTATGAGGTACTTTATTCTTCGTATATGATAAATGCCATCTCCAACAAGGTAAGGTGTGTCAGCAGGATGGTAGGTTCTTGAACAAGGCTAGCATGCTTAAAATATACTGTATAATAATGCTGGACCCGTCAGCACAATACTGTACAGTCTCCGCAAAAAAAAAAAAAAAAATCGTCAGACGGATGCAAATAAAAAGTTTGCCGCCAATATTGTAAGAAACTTAATGTATGCAAAAGGTCAGATGACCAGATACTGACATTTTTTATTTTCTAAGTTCACTTCTAAAGCCCAAAAAAATTCCTGTGTATTTTACGCATCCATCTGCAAACTTTTTTTGTGGCAAACATTTTATTTTTTTTGCAGTGTGTACAGTGGTACCTCGGGATACGAACCTAATTCATTCCAGAAGGCTGTTTGAGTGCCAATCTGTTCGAGTACAGAACGAATTCGTTCCCATAAGAAATAATGTAAAGTAGATTAATCCGATTCAGACCCCAAAAAATACACTTACAAAAGCACTTACAAAAATACACTTACATAATTGTTCAAGTTCGTATCCCGAGGTACCACTGTATATATGTTAATACCAGTTAATGACTTCAGGAATTATCGCCTCTGCAACCCAGTCTCAGACCAGGTCTTCCAAAATAGAAAAGAAGCAATAAGGAAATATTATAGGGATAGAACTACAGTATAAGAATGAGGGAAATAAAACTAAGTATATATTGTACTGAATGCAAATATAAGTTTGTAAGATTAATGTAATGTTACATTTTCAATCACAGAGATGTTATCTTATAACTAAATAACCAAAACACTAGCTTTCTCCCCTATCATTTTTGCTTTCACAGTTATTAATAGAAATGTACAATATAATACTTACCTAATTGGTCAGTGTTGATAAAATACTGTGTACACATACACAATTACCAAAATAATTTGTATTTACCCAATAATACCAATCCCATTTAACACACATGCCATACTTGTCTGCATTCTATTCATGCAAGGTGTTGAGTAGACACTAAATCAATATAATATTCAATATTGCACCTGGATTTCTGAATTCAGTAACAACTAGTTTTGGATTCAATGACAACAACAAAATTCCAGAACTGAACAACTGTAATCTTGTACATTAAGTAAGAGATTACTAGGTGGATTTCATAAATACAGTAATGTATTTTTGTGCTGAACAACTAAACTCTCTAAGCTTAATAACTAACAAGAATAGTAGTGTATATAGGAAACTATGAACATCAATATTAATATTAAATATACATGTACTGCTAAGCCACTGCAGTAAAAAATAAGGTCAATGAGCAATATAGTATGAAAAACATATACAATAATTAATTTCATTTATAAAACTAGCTTAAGGTGCTAAAACTTCAAGACTGGAACATCACGATAAAAATTAGTGAAAAAACATATAGCTTTATTAATCTGTATTGCACTTTTGTGTTTTATACTCATTATTTAGGTCTGGTCAATACACGGATTCTCCATCTTATCAACAAGTTGTGTTTCCAGTGTTTCAACTTATGAAGAAGTCACTGGTAGCCCTGAAATTGTTATCCTAGACAATGACAGTAAAGCACAAAGAATAAGTCAAGAAATGTAATTACAGCCTCTCCCCACTTACCGACATACTCCTTTACCGATGACTCGGACTTACGACGGGCTCTCTGACCAGTATGCATATCTAAATAATGTATATAAGAGCTGATTTCTTCTATTCTGTTTATTACAACATACAGTGACCGCAAAAAAATCTAAATATTTCTAACGCAAAAAAAAATCTATACACTAGATTTTGGTGTATATCACTTGAATTTCCACCATAAGAAAAGTGGGCAGAGCCTTTGATGGTTTAGTGTACTGGAGTCAGTCTTGCTCCAATGTTCCCCACCACCCCATGCTTCAGTGCTCTTCCAGAACTCAATGAGGAAGGAGGATTGCTATGTTGTTACTCAGTGCCAATTTTTTCCACACTACCACAAACTTTGCCATGCTATATCTCTACTCCATGTGGTCAGAATGGGTCGAACTAAACTTTCAATTGTAGAGAACACTCGTGCACTCACCCTAATAGAGCAAGGCATGTCTGTGATCTGCAGAGCCACAGACCTGAAGGTAACTAGGATGGCAATTTACAACCTCAAGAAAGCAGCTGCCTCACTCCCACCTGGCACCATGCCACCTAGGAAGGTGGGGTCTGGGGCCCCCAAAATGACTTCCCTTCACACAGACAAGATCCTGAAGAGGGAAGTGTTATCAGATCCTGCCATAACAGCCAAGACCTTAAGAAAAACCATCCTGCACTCCTGAAAGACGTCGCAGTGCGAACCATTCAGCACCGACTACAAAAGAACTTGAAAATGCCTGCTCTATGTGCCGCCAAGAAGAAATGGCTTCAGTTCTGCAAGAAATACCAGGATTGGACCTCAGACCAGTGGCAGAAGGTGATGTTCAGAGTGCCTTCAGACTCATCAGGAGTGTCTCTAAGACGGTTCATCGTCCTAGTGGTGTGTCCCGTTATGACCTGTGGTACACCGTAAAGACAGTGAAGCGCCCTGACAGTGTTATGGTCTGGGGTGCTTTTAGTGGTTATAAGGGCAGAGGTGGACTATACTTTCTTCCTAAGAACATTATGATGAAAGGAAGTAATTACGGTGGACCCCCGGTTAACGATATTTTTTCACTCCAGAAGTATGTTCAGGTGCCAGTACTGACTGAATTTGTTCCCATAAGGAATATTGTGAAGTAGATTAGTCCATTTCAGACCCCCAAACATACACGTACAAACGCACTTACATAAATACACTTACATAATTGGTCGCATTCGGAGGTGATTGTTATGCGGGGGTCCACTGTATATTGAGGTGTAAAGGGACCACATGCTGACATTTTGGAACATTCACGAGTGTGATTTTTTTATTCATGATGGTGCCCCTGCCCATAAGTCAAAACAAGTGAAGAAGTTCCTCAAGGACAATAATATCAGTGCTTTGGAGTGGCCAGGCAATTCCCCTGACCTAAATCCTATTAAGAATCTGGCATGTGATGAAAAATGAGATTGCAAAAGCTCGACCCACGAACATCATGGACCTGAAGGAGGCACTGAAGAAGTTTTGGATCAACATGGATGCCTCCCTCTTCTCTACCCTCGCCACTTCGATGCCCAGGTGACTTCAGATGGTGATACAGAACAATGGTAACATGACCAAGTACTAGTTAGAAGCTAAAAAGCGAAAATAAAATACAGTGGAACCTCTACTCACGAGTTTAGTCCGTTCCATGACCTTGCTCGCAACTGAATTTACTCATTTGCAGAGTCAATTTTCCTCATTTAAATTAACAGAAATGCAATTAATCCATTCCAGTGGAATTCTGTACTTCAATAATTTCGCTAATATCAACTCTACGGCTTATTTATCTATCTCACTTCATCTAATCTAATATGACATAATAAACAATATAATTAACATAGAAACCTGATATATACTCTAAAATTAATAAAATATGTAATTCATTTAGTGGTATGGGCGGTGTCTGCGGTGGACGAGAGTTTGTCTGGAGATAGGACAAAATATTTCTTTAATAATTTCGCTAATATCATCTATACGGCTTATTTATCTATCACAGTTCATCTAATATGACATAACAAACAATAAAAATAACATAGAAACCTGATATATACTCTAGAATGAATAAAATATGTCATTATATATGTGGCAGCGGCAGCGGCCGACGAAAGTTTGTCTGGAGACAGGACAAAATACTCCTTCAATATTTCGCTATCATCAACTCTACGGCTTATTTATCTATCACAGTTCATCTAATATGAAATAATAAACAATATAAATAACACTGACACCTGATATACAGTAGGGCCCCACTTATACAGCGGGTTAGGTTCCAGGCTGTCGCCGGAAAGCAGACATTGCCTGAAGGCAGAACACCATTTTTTTTCCATGTATAAATGCATATAAATGCCAGACAACAAGTTTACACTAAATTATATTAAGTTAGGCATTAAAAACACACAAAGTAAAATACATTCACAGTACATTCATTACTTATCTTGAAGTATTTGCAATCTTAATGTAGGGAGACAGGTGAGCAGTACTTATTTGTAGGAAGTCAGGTGCAGGTAGCCCTGGTGTAGGTAGCCCTGGCTCCCCATCTCATACTTAATATACGATATTTAAAACATCCCAGAGAGGTAAAATACACATACAGTACACTCATTATTTACCTTAAAATATGTGTAGTCTTAATATAGGAAGAGAGATGAGTAGTATTTATATGTAGGAAGTCAGTGTGTGTAGCCCACCTGGGCTACACCTACCGGCTACCTACACTGTGGCCCAGAGCCATATTATTAACATCGACATACCGTGTTCACTGAATTTAATCATATCTAACAACTATCTTTAGATGCCATCATAAATGAAGGGAGAAGTAATGAATAATTCATGCCGAAAATTGTAAACAAAAGCGGAGTGAGGGAGTGGCTGGGCCAAACGCAGATTCATACATGTTTTCTCTGATGGCTGAGCAGAGAAAACGCAATGTTGTCCCTCCACTCGGCTACCACACAGCTCTACAAGTATTATTATCAGAGCACATATAAAACATGCAATAAATGCCAGACAACAAGTTTACACTAACTGATATTAAGTTAGCAATATTATTATTATTATAATCAAGGGGGAAGCGCTAAACCCGTAGGATTATACAGCGCCTGGGGAGGGGATGTGGAAGGCATTCAGGCTTAATTCGGGGAACTGGAGCACAGATCCAATTCCCTAAATCAAGAGCCCCTCACCAACATCAAAGTTAGCAATAGAAATAGGCATTAAAAACACAATAAAAGGTAACACTTACCTTAAAATATTAATATTAATGTGTGAGAGGTGAGTGGCAGGGTGTTTATTAAATAAAATCGGAATGGC